GGTATATATCACTTAGCATTATGAACTATAATCCTTTGCCTTGAAGTGAAATCTTGAAGTGAAACCAAGAAGCTTTCATCTGACAGAGCTGTAACGTTACACGCCTTTTGATGCATCAGCACTTCGAACAGTTTGAAGTTTTGTTTCAGAACCGCCTGGCATTCAAGGATTCAGTTATCAGTGAAAGTGCTGTGTGGTGAAAGGCGAAGAAAGCGTCGCCTGCAGCGAATACCAGGCTCTCCATGCTGATCTTGATGAATCCACTGAACTGCGTGGGCTTTTCAGGTGCCGCATCTCACACGATGTATCTGCATAAAACAGTTTCAGGCACCTAGCTCCTCTATACCAGCGAACTGGAGAAGAACGTAATCCCACCTTCAGCAAGTATTCACACAGTGCATTTAAATTCCCACATCCTCCCCCAGTCACTCGAACAGCGGAGTAACAGCTAGCGCACGTACCCATTCTCCCCCACCTTGAGGATAACTAAAGCACATGTCTGTCTCTCGTTAGGAGATGCACTCTCCCATAGCTCCCATGCTTTTAGCTCCACCGTGCTGTCTAGGAGCCTGTAGTACCAAGTACAGCAGGACTTTTACCCACTCAGAACAAAACCAGTCTGCATTTCAAAGACAGATCTTCCAAGTTTCCATACTGAAGGTTGAATACAGAGACAGAACATACAACACCTTTAAGTCAGCGATAATACAATACCCATTTTGTACATTTTTTCCTCCTTTTCCTCAATTTCCTCCAAAACTTTTTATTTGAATTTCTCACCCAGTACAAAGACAAAAGGTGTCCGTGACTAAAAGTAGAGACTGAGAAGTTGTTGTAAAGCACCACATTTCTAATCACCTCGCACAGTTTGCATTAGCAGACTATGTCCTACAACTACATCCTTCCAAATTAAATGCAGATTCAGGAGAGTTGGAAAAAATATTTTGGTTTAATTTCACATATTCTCTGCTGCCAAAACTGAAACACTTATTTTAAACTCGCTAAGAAAACCATATCTGCTTTCCATACCCAGGCCAAAATCCTTATTGCACTATTAAAATTAGATGTGTTTATGAACTGAAGATGACCACTGGCTAAAGGATAAAAAAAAAAAAAAACCACGCAACCAAAACTTTCAGTTTCTCCTAAAAGGAAATAAAACACTATTCATTATTTGACCAAGATTAAGCAGACATCCACGTTTTTGGACGTGAGTAACCTGCCAAAACAGAAACAATATTCACAAAATGAATTTTATGGGCACGGTGTTAAGAAGTTTCTTTCCAAAAAGAATGGGAAATATCTTTTCATTAATACAATCAGACTTTTCCAACTAACTTCTAAACGTAGAATATTTACTGAACTACATATTAACCCCTGAAAAAAAGTAGCTAAAACATCAGTGTGGAGAGGTGTGTTTCCACCAGTTTCTCTTTTAGCATGTTTTTTTAGAAGACAATTCAGATTTTTCAAGGACAAATTAATACTCTTGAAAGGAATATAACATACTCAAACGTTTTTGGGTACCCTTTTTAAGTTCTGGACACTAACTGCTGAAAGTAGTAGTGTTTTATCTCACAAGACAGAATTTTCATTCTATGAATTTCTGTCCAATTTCTTTCACTTAAGCTTTGCAGCTCTTTCCAAGTGATAAAAGCAAATCCCATTTGGTCATTTTCTGATGCAACTTTGCGTAGACATTCTCTGAAACACACTTGTTTGAAAACATCCCATAACTACCCAACAGAATCCAGAAGCCACCCAAAAAAGGCCAGAAAATCAGTGTTTCTATATTTACAGACCAGATCATCATGGAGACTCACAAATTAAATTGTTTCCAAGTTGTTCAAGGTCAAAGGCAGGGTCTTTACAACACTAAACATTATTACAACATAGCCTCAACTTTCCCACAACTCACCTTAAATTCCGAAAGCCTGAGAAAGCAGAGAACCAGGGTAACAGTCATTTCCAAAACAGACTTGGCACAACAGGTGAGAAAGTTATTTCCAACAACACTGTTTCAATTAGTTGCCACGAATCTTCAGAATGCATCTTCCTACTACACAGTGTTTTTCTTCCTGTGTTAGCAAGGGCAACTGCTTTCGCAGAAAGATTACCAAACCGATGGAGAATGGTGGTGGTGTGGGGTGGGTTGGGTTTCCCCCCCCCCCCCTCCGTGGAAGCCCTTCCCCATGACCTGAATCCTTATCAGTCTTTGCTAAGTTTTAAAAGCAGGTGCTGATGCAATCCTTAGTTGATGTTAATTCAGAGTCGCTAATCACAGTTAACAGCACAGCAAAGCTTTTTCTGTCAGAAATTCCTAGGCAAGCTGCATATAGGACAAAAGCTGGAAGTACTCATGAACAGAGAAGGAAGTTCTCAATAATCCCAATCAGTCTTTAAGTCCAGGCATCACAGCAAAGGAGAGCTTTAAGAAGGTTTTTGAAGAAGGAAAAAGAAGGTATTTGGAGGAACATGACCTTTCAGATGTAAAAAAAGCAAAGCACAGCAGCACCGATTAAGCATGTAACAAAGTCAACGATGGAAGTGAGAGATGACCCCAAGCAGTGAGCTAAACACAAAAAGGAGGTGCAGTCATGCTAAAAATGCAAAAGCTACTTGTCTTTTGATCAACAGAGAAGCAGCTAGGTGGGAATATAAGACAGTACAAGCAAAGCATAGTTAAGTCAGATCTGTACAGTAACAGTCCAAATAAACGTGTGCAGGACAAGATCAGATCGGCACACTGAGAGAAAGCAGTTAAAGATGGATGAGACACAGGTGGAGTTTCAGCCACATGAGCTGCACACTTACTTGGTTTATTCTGCAAAGTTCAGTGACTTGGGTACTTGCTTGTGGTTTTGTCAAATTGCCTTCATCTCTGGGAGCATTCCATGCAGCTGCTCACCTGCACCAGAGCGGCTACATCTGATTTTTAGAGCCAAAAGGCAGCTATGAAGAGCTAAAAGCAACGTACCTTGAGCAGACAGTCTTTATACATAAAGTTTTCGTTTTAGTCCAACAAAACCCAAATTAGTTTGTAGATTAAAAACTGCTTGGCACTGTGGCTTTTTTGCCAGAACTGACCTGACACCAAACGTTAAGCAGCATTGTTTTTTGCTTCATCTTCCAGAACTAAAAATCACCTACTAAAGCTTGGTTCAACGCTGTAACTGATCTCGAGTTGCTATCGATTTTGACTTCCACTATGAACCTTCACAGTGCCAAAGAAAAATGACAGTTTTCTGGGGCCAAATCTACTTTTTAAGCCAGTGATTATGGCTGACAGTATAAGAAAGCTCACCGATGAGGTGGCTGACTTAACTCCACTTTACACACGATACCAAGAAGCTACCTAGCCACTAACAGCTAGTTTGTGGTGCGTTAAAAGAACTGACATCTTACCTATTCAGAGTGTATGGTTTGTTTTCTCATTTTTTTCAGTCCTTCACCTCAACAGCAACAAGAGATTGACATACAGACCATGAAAAGTATGGGTACTTTGGCCAAGTCCTGCAAAGTCTTGGTGCAGGCTCAAATAAGCATATGATCCAGCCCACTAAGAGGAGACTTTCATTGCAGTTAATCTCTCATACAAGCCTTTTGAGAAAGTTAGGATGACACCACTTATATTTGCATCCCTCTCTTTATTCCCTATTCCATTTAATATGTTAATGAGTACCAGTTAAAACAAATCTGTATTTTGCTCAAGATTATCATATCAGAGAGGAGATTTCAGAACTGACACAGACTACTTTGTCTCTGTTACAGGAGAAGTCATAAAAACGAAGAGAAGAAAAGAATCAAGCTGAATTTGACATGTCAGAATGACTTGACATGGAAGAGACACTCTCCACATTCTACAGAAGTATCTTAATGTTAGTTACCAGGTGGGAATGTAATTGAGAACATAATTTTAAAACAAATGTTAAAATTGATAGGTTACAGCAAATACATGAACAAATTTTGTCAAATATCTCAGACTTCTCACACTAGGAATACGAAGTCAAAAAGCACAGGTGGGTTTTTTTTTTGCCCCCCAGGCTGATGAAATCTGAACAGTATTTTGATTGAACTAAAAACATGATTAGAATTTGGAACCCAGTGGATGCCCAAATGGCAAGTAGTGCTGATTTGGAGGAAAAAAGAGGTCTTAATTTACATTTTGTTGTAGCTATGCAAGCTGTGGTCCTTCTCTTTGAAGAACTTGCGTGCATGCTTCATTTCTATACAATAAAAGTGTAAACCCTTTTACTTCAGGGAGACTACCCACATGCTGTAAAATACTAAACATGCAAGTGTTCATAGGACTGGAGCCTATAGAGTACGAGAACTCCAACCAATGGAACAAAGTATTAAAATTGCAGTTCATGGGGAAAGCATCCAAGGTTATGCTGTACAAGCAGATCCAACAAAAAACTTCAAAGAACAGCTTATACTCTCAAAAATCTACAGGTTGTTAACAAATACTCCCAGTTCCACAGTAACACTAAGTTTTCAGACAGGTTATTCCCATGCAATATCAACAACATGCAGGATTCTGTTCTCCTCTTCCCCCCCAGCTAAATAACTTCATTAATGAAGTAAAAAAAAAAGTTTTGAGAGCATTAATGTTAGAGAAATTTCTATCCAAAACACTACAAAAGTAATACTTTAAGATCTTTAAGGAACATAAAGAGATGAGTTGACTAGTAAGTCAAGTTTAATCTGAATTTTTGGACTTTAAACAAATGCTCTCCCATAGCTGGAGTAAGACTGATTCCAGCTGCATTTGGGATGGATTTGCCTTAAGAGCTCTAAATGCTGTTTTTACTCTTCTGTCTCCCACAGAGAAGCCCGCTCGGAGACTTCTGGCTTATTGTGACAAAGAGCCACATTCCCTGTACAACAAACACAAATCCATCACTAAGACACCTCGTAAATCCTATATGATTATCTTTTTATATAGAACACTTGCATCTTCTTGATAAATCCTTCCCAAGAAAATATAAAGCGTATCACACTGTTTTAGCAATCCTTTATTGAAGATAACAAGTTGGTTATGTTCACTGTATTGTATGAAACATCACAATATCATACTGGGAAGGTACTATCAGTACAGGGTTGGACCAGAGCGGACAGTCTGAACAATAAACCATTTTGCATTCTTCATTCCCTATCTTTTAACAACCCCCAAAAAAACAGTAAAGGGACAAATACCTGTTAACATCATCATTTAGAACACTTTAACTTACAAGGCTAAAATCTAATGAATAAATAAAATATACTGTGGCAATAATCCTCTCTAGACCAAAAAAAAAAAAGTCAGATACACAGTGAATCAAAATGAAGGGGAAAGCTGGCCTTCGGCACCAGTATGAAAGAGCGTGTGGTTTTTACAGACTGACCATGGGGATAAAGTTACAGAAAAATACCATGAATTCCATTTCACACAAAACCAGTTGATGACTGTCATTAGCTTAAAACTACACACAAGGGCAATTACATCCTCGCTGAAACACAGTTTAAACAAATAGGAAAATGTTTACAAGGCATCCACAGCATGTAAATCATGTACAGATGGATACATTCATTGTTTCCCCTCCCCAATAGCTTTTATTTTAGATAAATACTTTAATCTTCCCCATTTTCAGCATTTACTGGACTCATTACATGCACAACTCAAAGAAGTCAGAAAAAAAGTCAAGGTTATTGCAAAAATAGAATTAAACTAAGAATCTTCAAGTACCTTACGTGACAGCCACTCTGTACCATGCCCATTGCTTATAAAATGAAAGGTCATTGAACCCATGAAAATATCTCTAATATTTTCTTAATTTAAAATAGATAATTTTAAGTGTATTTATAGTAATCTCAAAGTGATAATTTGAACTTTGAAAATAATGCAAACAATAAAAATTATACCCATATTACACAAGACTTCTGTCTGTATCTTAAGCTGAAAAAAAAAAATCAGAAAACTATAGAAAACCACATATAGAACAAAAAAAAAAAATCACAATTTACATTGTAATAAAGGCAAATTTTCAGCATTTTTTAAAAAACCTGCAGCTGTGAGAGATGTCAAAGCAAGTCACTACTAACTATAAATTCATCAGTTTGGTTTTAAAAGATTTTCTCTAGCAAGAGTTTAAGGGTGTGTTGTACACATGCGTAAAATTCTTACTGTTTTTAGATGCCTAGAATCTTCATATATTATTGCCAAATACACTTATCTTCAAGCAAGCAGTAGGCAACATATCACAAAATTTGGACACCGCAGGGAAACCTAACGGTCTGGTAATACAGGAAAAACTGGAAAATTAAAAAAAAAAAATAAAATACACATCTGATAGCATATTGCCCAATTGAAATTACTCCCAAGCCACAGAGCTGCAAAGCCTTCCAACTCGGTAAAGTGAAATAAGTAACGTCTCAAACAATGACTCGTACTCTCTCACGCTTGTGTCTCGCACGTTTCATTTAGCCATAGTGTATCTTCTGAGTACACCTACAATCCCATGCGCCTCAGGTACATATACCGATTTGCTGAGAGAATCATTCCTTCCTTCCTTCCTTTTCAGGGCCAAAGTTCATTACAGATGTAATCAGTATGCCTGAGGCTGGTAAAAATACTGTAGTACAGGCAATGCTAAGAGTGGCAATATCAGAAAACACAAAAATAAACAATGATGGAAAATTCTAATATCTTTCTGCCCATTTCACGAAATGTTGGAAATCCACCAGAATTTTTCCCTTGTATTGAAGAAAACAGATTTAAAAGTTTTTTTCCCCCTTTCAGAACCAAAATCATTTTAGCAGATTTGTAAGGCTACCACGGATCTTCTAGATCTCCAGCACCCTACAGGAAAAGAAGAGGAGAAATATTACTACTCACCAATACAAATGAAAACATTTTATTGCACTTTGGATTTAAGTGGCGTAATTAAGTAAAACACTAGCGCAAGACAGACAATATTTTCCTTTTTTCCATACCTGCCTGCTTCCACACACAAACATTCTCTGTCCAACTTCATGAGAGAATTCATTTTTATAAAACACAAACCCAATAAAGCTATTATAGCATAAAGACTTAAAATTAAATGTTATCTAAAATTGTACTAAATCACAGCTATCAATAGATACTACATCTATGGACTACAAAGAAAATCTATAAAATACTAATGAACTTGGCTCTTCAGGTATTCCTGGTCTGCAAGAAACTCCTGCAGGCTCTTCCTCATTAATGCAGTGATATTTGTGCCCATTTCAAACAGTGATATTTTTGTGCAAGTGTTATATTATGAACTGACCACTGACACAAGAATTCTTGGTTTAACTTTACAGATTAGTTACCACCACTGTAAACCGCCAGTATTATTACTGATCTACCCAAATGCACGAACATACACGTGTTGTACACCACAAGACACAGAAAAGATTTGGTAGAAGGTAAACTTGGGTAAAATAGACAGTTTATTCATTTATATGGCTGATATTTAACCTGAACTTGGAAACGTAGGCCCAACAGAGAATGAATGAAGAACGTCCAAACGCAAAAAATTACTCAAATAGTTGTAGAAACTAATGAACACCATGAGTTAATATCAGAAGCTATGAAAAGTTTCAAGCCATGTCAGAATGACAGCATTTCAAAGGAAGTTTATTACTTGCTTAAAAGAGTCAATATGCATACAGATATTATTCCACAGCATATTCTTTATTTTCACTCAAACACAAATTCTTAGAACTCGACAGTAGGTACTAAATCTAAGTACATTTTCATTTCTGGATATATGTTATGCTACAACCTGGGAAGTAATAATACAGTCATCTAGAAAACAGGTATTTATGATAAACACTGGATACAATCTAAATTCGAAAAATTCAATCACTTCTTGAAGAATAAGTGACAATCTAAAACCTAATTTTGTAGTTTAGTTGCAATATAAACTATACACAATTCAAATACGAGCATGCAGTATATGATGCTGGGATAAAAAAACCCAAATAATTTGTATAATTCAATGAATTTGCACAAAAGGTACAATTAAGATGTGAATTACTTTACAATTAGCAAACACATACCATCAAGATTATTATTTAAGAATGCACTTAAGGTTTATTTTCCCATTACCATGTCAGATTCCTGTTGCTGGTGCCACAGGATTTAAAAAAAATGAATTTATTTGTTAAAAACCAAATTATTTTAAATTCTCAAATGGGAAGTTAACTGCTCGCTACACAACATAAGATGCAATTTCTATAATACACCGTAGTACTTCTAGGGAAAAAAAAAAAAAGAGTTTTGTATAAAGAATTTGTACAGACGAGTAAAGTAAAAACAAATAAGACTTCTAGGACAGATGTGACAAACGCTGAGCTATAAACAAAGGAAAACACGCCACGCGAAGCGAAGCGTTAAATCTGCCACGTGAAAAACGTCACGTCTGTTCATCGCGCGTCTCATTCATCCCTGAATCTTCGTCTGAGCTCTGCGTTTCGGCGAGGCGATTCCCAGATTCCGCGTGGGCGCCTGGCACGGGCTGGCCGGGTCCTGAAGCAGCCGCCGCCGCCTCCGCCGTGGGCTCGCCTGCCTGCCCCTTAGCTAGCCTGTAACTAGTCAGCATGGCTTCCAGCAGGTGGCGGTAGTTGCCCCTGTGATTAATTCTCATCTGCCTCAGCGCTTCCACCAATTTCCCCTGCGTTCCGCTTCCCTCGCCTTCGACAGGGTCCTTGTTTTGAGATTCAAGACCCCAAAAAAATCAGTAGTTAAACTAGGATATTATCTAACGACATTAAAAAAAAAAGCAACAATTTTTCTGATTGAGAAAACATCAGTTTTGCTCTATTTCAATCTAAACCACCTTATTAGCAACATATACCTCAGAACAGTACTGTCCATGTTTGTCTATTTTATAGAACATCATAATTTTAAAAATGATACCTATTAAAATAGCATTCATAATCATTTCAATTTATTTTGAGCCAGACAGTGTCAACATGGTATCTCCTCCCGACTAGCCCCATTTTGGTTCAAATAGTGTTTTGACTAACATAGCTGATATTCCTCAGAACTGCAGTCAGTTGTCAGTGAAAGTTTTCAAAATTTAAGCTTCGTTAGCCATCAGGTCAATATTTTTAATTGTGAATTTCTGCCCAGCCAATAGCAACACAGTCCTGTGAAAAACTTGAAGAGAATAGATAACTACTGCTAGCGGTTTAGTTGAAGCATCACATCAAAATAAATGCTCAAGTGTTTTAGAAAACAATCCCTCCACATTAAAGACTGATTTTTGCATGCATGATGCTGCCATGAAAGAAACGTGCAGCTACCTATCAGTGCCAGGAGCAGTGATGTTTGAACAACGTAAGATGCTATTTTTGGCAGATGTGCATATTGGATAGAAAAATTAAAGGCACAGCAGCTATTCAAAGTCAAATCTAGCACTACAGCACAAAACCTGAGTAATAAGCACTATGGAATGGAATTCTCCTCTGCAAACCACTTATTTGGCTACAATCCTACAGTTGAAAAGAATTGGATTTTTAGTTTGGGGTTGTTTGTGTTTTTTTTTTTTCTTTCTTCAATAGACTTCTGCATCTGTTAGATGCTAAGACTGATACCGGATATTTTAACTTTCAAGTGCAAAAGCAATACGGTTGCTTTAAAAGAATAGTACATTTTAAATTATTAATAGAGGGCAAGTTCTCAAGCTAGACAAATGGAACTGTATCTCTGGAAGCTGGCAGATTTTGCAATACATTAGAGGCAAAATCCAGACTGTCTCTCATGCTGACCTCATTTTATTGTCATCTAGTTCAAAAGCTTCATAAAGTGCAAGTATTTCAGTCACTTATTTACAAGCTTAAGAACAGCATTAAGACAGTATCTTGGGTTCAGTAGGATTTTGGATGCTGTAATGTTCCTGGAATAGAAGTCTAAGACTAATTAGCTTGATCTAAGTTAAAAATGGGACAATTTTACCACAAAAATGAATGTTACTGAATATAACACTACTGCATATAACACTATCCCTCTAAGCTTTACTTGTTGCATAAATAGAGACATATTTCCACTGTGGTTTGCCAGTCTTAGTTTGAGATGTTTTGACTCCCATGTACTAGCATTTTCGTATTCAGATAGCTCTTCAAGAGCCCAGTGAGGAGAAGCAAGTTAAAGGAAGTAGTTTTAATGTACAAAGTGGGATTGTTTTAATGCCTCATGAGCACAAAACCAGTGAAATCACAGGGCATCAAGATGAGGCTACAGACGTAACCTATTTCTCAGGTTTTGACAAAAAAAACCACCCCGAAACTATTTATGTATTTATCTAGCTAATATTAAACAAGACAGCATAAATGAAATATTCCAAACAGAGTGCAAAGCAAAACAGGATTTGAGTTTGAGTGTCAAATACTAATAGCACACTGTTACTATGACTCCTACTAGCACTTGAATTGTTTAGTAATCTCAGAGCTGCTATTATATTGCTTATTGCTTTTACTCTTCAGTGTTGCATGGGAGCAAAAGTATTCACTTCCATCAGCCAAAAGAATTTTTAAATATCTGAACATTGTGAAATGTGGAGATTAAGGGTCAACCTCAGAGGAAAACTGATGGGCTGGAGGCACTATGGAATTTAGATGTTCTCCGAACTTTAAAAAACTGGAATTCTTCACTTATGCTGCGTTATTTAATATTAGCTAGATAAATACATATACTGCACGCTGTTTGATGGCAGGCTGTTTTGTGCTTCCCTCATCTCCCGCAGCGCTAGCAGACAAGAAACCCCACAAGACAAACTGCCTCTTTTATATACTAGACACTATAAATACAGTGTAACGCAGATTTCTCTCTAATGATGCATGGCTAGAACAGGTCCTTGAAAATTATGATTATTGTGCAAGTTAGCATTTGTCTTCTTTCATGTCCTAATTCAACTTAGTGCTACAGTATTTACACGAGTTCTGCTCTGTTGAATTATGTATATAAAAATGGCTACTACATATTAGGGACAGGTTTTACAATGTTTAATGGTCTAAGAAGTTCGTCCATTTACATTTTTAAAATTACCTGTAGCAGCCCTTAATGACATATGATTTGATTTAGCAAAGTGACATAGTATAGTATCAGTAAAAGCAAGAGAGAACCAGGATTGGTTTCAAACAAGATACTCAAACAAGCTTTAAACAGCTTTAAACAAATGCTACTGAAACTATTAACACAGCCACTGTAATTTTAGCATTGTTCCTTGTGTTTAACGATACATATACACCCAAGTGGCCTAATTGGATAGTAGCCTCTGAGTCTTAGGAACACACGAAAAAACTGGTCAAAGTAGAGTCATTAGAGAAAGAGTAATACTTTAACGTGTTAACTCGAACACCGACTCGGAGGTATTGTAACATTACAGCGGTAACAATTATTTAGCTATGAAGAAGTTCTTCCCTTTAAAGATCTAAAAGCACCAAGCCCCAATACATCACAGATTTCTGTGATTTCCTTTGCACTTGTAAAGGCACAAGCGACCACATTTAGAGCAGAAGTCCCTCTGCTGAAACACTGTCTCTTTGTGAGGCCAATGCAAAGCTCTCTCTAGTCCTGGATTTACAAAATATTTGTTACTCTGCTGAGATGCCTAAAAGAAATGACACTTGTGACTACTATACCCTGAAGCCACACTAGTGACCTCTGAATACTGCTGCAGTAAGGATTCTTTCACTCCCTAGTCCCTCGCTCTACACAACATCTCCTCATTTCGGCTATATGATAAAGACTCAGAAAACGTAACTGTGAATAACTCGAAGAAGTTCTTCTACAATCACTAGCTTGGATGACAAAAAAAATTAAGCACAACACTAACTGAAATCTTTACAGTGCTCAGTACAAATGAAGCTAATGTAAAAAAAGATACCACCTTGGTTTTGATGTATATACTTTCTGAGAACTTATTTGCAAAGCTATTACAACCTAGTTCATAGTAACTCTGGGTAACTAGTTTAAATTGTTCAATGCTAAAAAATACAGTCTTTAGAAGGAAGTCACATCCTGAATTGCAAAAGTTAATCTGGTTGGTTTGGTTTGCTATTTTTGTGGAGTGTGCTTTTGAGTTTTTTAATATTTTTTTAACTCCTGTGCATTAGTATTTTAGCAGTTAATTACACTATTATTTTGTCAAAATAAAAACAAAGGTTCTAGCTCTACATAAAACCATCACATGAAGATGACTGCCACAGGCAGGCTCCCTAGTTAGTAACAGCAGTATTCTGCACTATGCCCATGCTCTGACAGACACATGTTCATGGTTAACTACACAGGAAAAGATTGTCAAGGGCAAGTCAGCGCACCTTCGTACTCTGCAGACTCAGCATCTGTGTCTGCAGCTCGTAATTTTTAGCATGAAGATCCACTCTTGCTTCATAATTGTTTATAACAGGGGCATTATTAGTTAGATTTTGCTCTCGCTTGGAAATGTCATCTCTGGGATGTACTGTATGTTTCCTTCCTACCCTTGCTTCCTCTTTAAATGTGAGATGTGTAGCAACATTATCAGTGTGTAGACATTGTGGAGAGTGTGATGTTGAGTAACTGAACAGCTTCCTTCCCTTTTACCCCCCATGCACTAAAGTATTCTGTTCAAGACCCTAAGAGATCACCACATATGTACCTGGAACTGACTTAGACTAGCAAGGAAGTCACGTTTTCACCACCTCAGAGACGAGGCCCACTAAATTGATTCACTTCAAGGACAGTAAGATAACAACTCCTACTTGCTGGGAAAGCGCAAGCAGGAATTGCATCCTTCACCCAGTGGTGCACCCTCCTCCTCTCAAACTGCTCTGGGTCAGAATCACTTAGGATGGGAAGAAGAATAGGTATCGACTGGCAAATGACATCTTACCACAAGATCAAACTCAAATGTAATCCAGTATATTTAAACAGCATCATTTTTGAGATTTGCACTGAATACTAACAGAAGGCAAAGTTTACAAAGTAGACTGGTGTGTACTGCTCACATTTCGTATTAAAGAAGCCAAATTAAAAAGGACTCAAAAAAACCTATCAAAGGATCCTAATGGCAAAAAAGGTCAGAGCTATTAATAGTAATAAGGGTTAAAGCTGCATTCCGAGTTAACTTGCATATTTAGTTGTTACCTCATTTTATTAAATTATAATGGACAATGTACAAAAAGTTTCTTGTAAGTAGCCAATACACAAAAGGATGCTATACTGTGAGTCATGACTTTCAGCAAGCTGCACGGCCATTGAAAAGTAGATTTGGACTTAGAAAAGATGCATCATAAATGCAACTATGGCACATGATACTTCTAGAAAGTTACCATTAGACAAACTTTCTTCTTAAAAAACCCAATCAATTTATAAAATCTATACCGTAATCCTCAAATAAACCACTTTCACCAAGAAGTTTACCCCAAAATCAGGAACAAAATTATGGCTAAATATGAAAAGTAGTAGCAGGCTGATAGAGTTGCAGAGTTTCCTGAAAGACTGAAGAAAACTAAAGACTAAAAAGAGGAAAATTTTGCCTAGCTTGTTTTGTGGTACAGTTGCAAAATTTGTTGAAAGTTACATGAAAAATGTATGCTCTATCACTTTTGAACTAAAAAAAAGGAACAAATCCTAAAAAAATAAAAAAATTAGTGATTTCTCTCTATTTGTATTTTAACAGAATAGTGGCCCCTTCCACCTACACATGCTTTCTAACTTCAGAGCATAAACCAAATACAGGTAGCCAAGAGAAGATGACAGTGGGAAAAACACAATAATAATTGCGGTGCATATTCACAATCTCAAGGCACATAATAGCTTCAAAGTATTTAAAACGAAAGTTGGCATCTCCCCAATACCATTCATTGTAATGACTACATGACTGAAGACCTTGTAGTCATCTCAGAAAAGAAAAAATACGACAGAGGATTTACTAGAAGATGAATGGAGTACCTTCACAGTTTAGTTCACAAACTGTACAGGAAATGACAACATGGGTACAAGCAGTGATGTTTTATATCAGTCCTTCAGTTTTCCAAAGATTTGTTTTTTAAACAACTTTAAATGTAACTGACATGAACACCAGTTATTACTCTTTATAGTACTGTTAAGAGCCACATAATAATAAGGTTTAAAGTTACAGTAAACCATATTTCAACATACTATTTAAAATTCAACTTATTAGGAACTGCGCAGAAGAACGTAAGCCATTTTAGAAATGAGAACTGAAGTAACCTAAAAATCACTTTACACCTTCTTTAGACCACTGCACGAGATATTTAAAGATAGTGTTAACTCTAAAAAAGTAGTCAATATTAGTCTCATTATCTTTCATGCTGAGTGTATCAAGGTCCTCCACACTTACAGAAGACAATAGGAAACGTTTGCTCCCTCTTCCACTAGATTTCTGGACAGTAGACATAATAGCTAGTTAAGTAATGAATACATTAACCATAATTTTTGACAATAAGAAACTATAAATTTAGAAAAACCCTGAACTGTTGCCTCACAGGCTTGACTCAAAAAGCAGTAGTCAATTAAATGTTTACAAAGTCTTTCAGAATTGGGTGTCGGCTTGCTGCCTCTGTGAGGATGAATTTCTATATCAGATCCATCCAAAACAACATCAAAATGAACTGTATGCTGCAATGCATATTTTGTGTTTATAATACTTCATTGGCAGTTATGTACACTTTTGCTTAATGTATGACACTACTTTGATTTCTCATTAACAAAGAGGTATAGCAATCAAAATGGGAACTTACCCCCTCATTCTCTCTGTGTGGATTCAGCCTACTATACACAGCTTCAATAATATTACGCCTAAAAAGAGAAGTTTTAAAAAATTAAGCACAACAAAGGATTTCAAAACATAGCAAACTTAAAAAGTTTGAGCACAGTAATAATTTCAAAGTGTTTAAGATGTTTTGCCTTTAGCCTGCCTCTTAGATGAAGCCCACTCTCAGTGCCTTCACTCACTTTCGATATGATGCTTGGAGATTTAGCAGTAAATCAGGATTTGCAAAGACTAAGCAAGGCAAAGCATTTTCTTACCTTACCCACCCCATGGTCTCCTCCTTTACATCTTTAGAAGCTGCAGCTACATAGTCAGATTTTGCCAAGAATAACATTTAAACCTATATTTTGCTTATTATAACAAAGTTCTTCAAGTTCACTGGTTTTCTTGCCTTATTTCTGGATGTGGAACTTGAAAACAGTTGGGTTTTTCCCCATTTTTATTACCTATACACAGGTTACTACTTGCCTATGAACTTTTGAGGTGCAGTGCCCAGAGTATAGAACCTCTGAGACGCACTGTCTAGTGTCTACTCACACTGTAGAAATTAAAACCCAAGTGTCACCAGCTAGACTTTGTTCTGGCAGTACCATTATAAGGGCACACCTTCCCAGGCTGGCAAAACAAGCACAAAAAACTTCTCAAAAAAACCCTCCAAGTATAAACAGACTTTTGACAGGAAAAAGGTTATGTCCCTACATCTTAAAATCATAGTAAGAACTGGGAAACGTTCAGACAAGTATAACAAATATGATTGAAGTTACTGACAGCTTCAACAAAAAAATAACTGCTACATGAACTAAGACTCAAGTCTGGAAGTGGCCAAAACCTATAAAAACGACGTGTTACAGAATGTAGGTAAGCACTGACTGCTGACTCTTCTAAACAAAGAGCACAAGGGCATCAAGTGAAGACAGCAAATGTCTCAAAAATACACAGTGATGGCTCCTGATGCAACAAAACTTTCTGCCCCAGAATACTGAGGATGCTGAAAGTTTTATGAAGCTCCTTCATAACACACCTAACTTCACGGAAGAGAACTTCTAACTCACTACGTACATAATGTACCTCAAGATCAGGAAGAATCTCAGCTGCAAGAAGCTTAAAACCAAAATAATAACGATAGGGGAAGTATTTAACATATTTTCCTGTTTTTATAGTCTTCCCTAGCTATCTACTTTCAGCTAACCTGTGGACAGGACACAGAGCTTGAACAACCCTTGGTCTGATCTAGTACGATGAGGTTCTTACGTTCACACCACGGAAGCGAAAGCTCATTCAAAACAGAATACTTGTTTGGGTTTTTTTTGTTTTGTTTTTGAATGGAATGTTGCAAGTATGTCGACTTCTGAGACATAGCAATAGATCAGGTAATCTCAATAACGTCCAGCATCAGAATATATTTCTCCAGTCATGATCCAGCACTTAAAACAGTACCTACTAAAACACTTCGAACTCTGGGAAATGCTTTGCAGACCAGTGAATGCAAGGTACAGTGCATCGAATCTCAGGATGACCACTAACCTCCAACACTGAAAAGACACGGTGATATCATGTGCTCAGAGGCAACATATGTTGATGATGAAATCAGCATTTATCTAGACACGCAACACCAAGACACACAGAAGGTAGGCACAACGGATACGCCTGACAACTTGAAGCTGCAAGACACTGGCGTATGCGCAATTTCTTCTTGTTCACATACAAAGGTTTTGGGCTGTGTCTGGATGAGCTCCAGGAAAGAAGTTCAGAATTAAATTAACTTTTGAAAGTGCCACTATCATATCCAACATGAAAAGTTCACTGAAGAACACAACTTCTCCAAGGCACATCAGTTTAAGTCAATGCTTTAAGAATTCTGCAAGGATTGCATGGCTGAGCTAGCATGGGATCCATCAGCACCAATGGAAGATTTTCCTAGAAAAAAGAAACTGAACATTTATGCAGATGATAGAGGAAAGGGTTCTCTCCATTTAGTTTCATGTCTAATGATGGTGGAATGGCACAATTCTGACCAAATGTCTGTACTATGGAGAGCAATGGCACCTCACACCAACGCAACAGAAAACACCTAGACAGATATAGGCAGATGCACATAGCCATTGCAGAGGGTTTAAATTAGACTTAAAACTCAAGCCTTTGGAATTTTCCTATCTTTGCAATTCACTTTTCTTTCTTTGAAAGCGAATTTTTTTTGTACTTTTCTTTGAAAGGAAAATTCAGGAGCAAGACGTTGAGTGGAAGTACTAATGTCCAAGTGACAGGGTAGCTCAGAACTTCTGTTTTCTTCAGCAACAAGTGACCTTTCTTTTTGCAGCATTTGAAGTTACAGTGGGATCTGAGTCAAGCCAGAAGCCAATCTTTAAAGAGCAAGATTTTGAAGGTTAAAACACCACCATCAAGTGACTGCAGCAGAGCTGACATCTTTAGATGTCCTGTCTCGAAGAATGAGCCACCACAGGCTTCTACACAAGTGAGAGATGCTTGAAGGAAGTATACAATGCCAGTAGAAGTGGAGCTACTTCAGAGGTTCCTAAGGTTTGCAGACATAGTCAAGGCAACATCACGTTGTATTTCTCCACCTCGGACACACTAAAAACAGGAGCAACTATAACAGGTGCTAAAACCAAGCATGTTAGCCACAGACAAGCTCTTTCTGCAACCTGTTTGAGTCGAGTGTTGAAGTTCAAACGGAAGGACAAAGTGTGAATTCTTCATGTCCTGGTAACATCGCAGGATAAGGATCTCAAGACAAAGAATATTCTCTTGTTAGGACAAAAGCTCGAAGTTACACGGTAAGCGGATGTGGGTTGTGCAGTCATACCTTTTCAAAACTTCCATTCTGGAGCACAATCCTGCAAGTAAAGTTTAAACTAAATACATCACTGCCTGTCTTTGTCCTAAGTTGGGTAGCCAAGAAAAAAGTTACTCAATACTGCATGATAGTCTCTTAAAAGAAGCTGCAGGTACACCTCCTGAAGTCAGTTTTCTGTAATGCATGATTTTAGAAGTCAAAATGGACAGAAAGATATCAAAAGGCAAATTCTGAACCTAAGTCCATTAAAAATGTAATCTGGGTAACAAAAAATTAAAATAGAATTTATATGCAAAGGTTCCAGAATAATGAAACAGTACATGATGCAGTTATTAATGTGCAAAGCAGCAAAACGCACCAACTCATTCAGCAGTTGGGAGGCACTAAAAAAAAAAAAAAATCAGGCTCATCACAACTTCTTTGAATGCCTGGAATGCAACCAAGTGGAGAAAAAGGCTCAGAAGGTACAGGTACTTTCAAGGCTAGGAAAAAATAATCATGGCAAACAGTGTTCATTAATAAGTACACACAATGAAAAGAGGTGTATACATAAATGCTCAGAGGACAGGACTTCATATTTTGAAAAATATAAAGATTCCAAAAGCAACATGACCTATGCCAGGGAGCAATAACTGGTCCCACTGTTGGCAAAACTCTAAATTAACTATTGTTTATGCAATCCTAAATTCTGTTCATTAAAATCCCTAAATTATAGACTATTGGAACATCAATATTAGCCTCCCCAGAAAACCAATGTTATTTCTGATAGTTTATTCTAGTTAAGTTTAAAAATGCTTATCCTAGTTCAATATTCTTTATTTAACATTCAGTTTAAGACTAAACAAAGAAAAACAATTTTCTTACGAGAATGTTTACTGAGCAAACAAGTATTGACCCAAACTTACAAGGTACACTAGGTAGTGGTAGGAACATGACATCAGGAAAATTAAGCTGCTACTTTGATATTTCAGTTACATTATTGATAGTTTTTAACATATGTAAAGCAGTAAAAAGCCAAGAATATATCTATTTTTTTTTTAAATGGTCATACAGAAATAGTAAACCAGTATATCATGTACCAGAATACGATCAATCTGTTTCCACTTACTAGTCTGGAATGGGAACAGTGACACAAAAGTTTATGCAGTGCAAAAAGGTAAACTAGCTTAAAATAGAAAACCCTTTTTTTTTTTCTTTGAGTATAGCTATTACAATAAGAAAGCTTTAAAACATTTTAATAGAAGTATTTGTTTCAGTGAACTAAATAGTTAAAAAAATTCCAGTACTGTACTCACTTGCCAGCTAAACCACCTCCTGGTGGTAAATTAGGGATATTCTCCGCAGTTAAAATACGAATAACATGAGCAAGATCAGGCATTCCTTCTTCACCCGATTTTTCCATAATTTCTAATTTAAAAAGAGAAGAAGTCCTCAGATTACTGAATTAATACTACCCACTCCTTAAGACACTACAACACAAGACACTATCACTTTTTAACAGAGACATTTTGAAAAAGTTACATGTAACCAGGAAAACATTCTTCATGTTCTATGTAAAGTCTCTTTGCATGGTGGAACAGAGCTATTCAAATCCATAGCCTGCTTTCCCAGCATGCTTCTAGCCATTCTCAGAGAAACTCATAAGCAGATTGTGAACTGGATGAAACATCCTGGAGACAGCAGCCTGTTCTCTTTCAAAAAGAAGACAGCTGAGAGTCTGTTTCAGTTACCTTCCCGTTGCATTGCAACACATACTCAGAAGTTACACACCATAAAGTCAATGCTTCCCAGGAATTCAGTCATACTTCATTGTAATGCCTTGATTTCTTAAAGGCCTGAGTCTCTGGTGTGTAAATGCTAAGACCATCATGCAATAAAGAGGCACATATAATGGGCCATTATCACGCAAGCGGCAAAAACGGAACACAGAACAGACGACGAATAATTAATAATACCATATTCCATTTTCAAAGCACAATTATGATACAAGTTCAGTGCTAGTAAGTTGTTCTGCCTTGGAAAAGAACTGCCTAAACTCAAGTAAATCTTCACATGTTCTTATTCATCAAAGCTGCTGTAAGGCAAACGTGTAATAGCTGTGTATACATTCACACAGGCATAACACTACCAGCTTCCAGTCATCAGCCTCTAGTCATTCAACTACTACCATGGCAGAAAAAGGTTCACCAAGTCATCTACAAATTGTAGTTGTAAGCATGTGTCAAATATTTTTAAGAAAGAATTTTTTTTCTGAAAATCAATTCAATTAAAGAATGGAGTGCCATTTCCTGTAGACATTGTTCCAGATAAAAATTCTTTGAGTCACAAAACAAAAGAATTAAGAAGAATGAATCCTCTCAAATATCATCCTAAAAATACTTCAGTCAGTCTGCATCTTGGCTACTATCCAAAGATAAATCACTTACATGTCTTAAAATCAATTGATTGTATTCTGGATGCCTGATTTGGAGCCTGCAACTAAAGTCAGAAAAGCAGCTACAATTTGAGTTTCTGAAGTTAGAAAAGCTCATCACGCACTCACTTTAAACACTGCATCCCAAGTTTCCTGATATTTAACCCTCTCTTGATATCTATCACCTATCGAGAAAGCAAGTGATATGCAGGCTTCTCTAAGGACTACCAAAACCAAAGCACTTGCAAGGCACCCACTTACTCTGTATCAGGGAGATCCACAGGAAAGCCTCCTGAAAGCAATTCTACTTTTAGAATAGCTCTACTACCCTGTAACAAATAAGGCACTATGCTTTGAAGCCCCAATTATAGGTCAGTACCTTAGAATCTCTGCAATGAATAAACTAGGTATACTACTACTAGAAGTGATTAAACGTTCTTCCATGAAACGTAATGGGTGGATGCATGATAATATACATAAAGAATTAATCATGCCTATAGCAAAGGAAATAACAGCTGAATACGTATGCTTGAATCTTAGGATTTGTGTGAATGTGTATGGAAGAATTGATCCAAATCAGCCTCAAGTCTTCTTATACATGGCATTCTTTTGTGCAGTTCTACTGAGTTAGAAGTTGATTGTACCACTATAATATAAACTTGCTAGTCACATCTGACAGGAGATGTGTCTTATGCATATATTGCTTTTTGTACTGAGGGCACATCTGGTTCTGTATGTACTAAAAGTAGACAAACACCAAGAATTAATAGGAAGAAAGGCTGCAGAAGTAAGCAATTACTAAATATTAATGCAAGCATACCATTTTTATACCTTCTTAAAAGGGAATTAAAGCAATCACAAGTAAAGATTGCTGTGTATTTCTTAGTACAGGAAGCTTTCACTTTATACTGTATAACCACTTCTCAGGGAGTGTTGAACTGAACCACAAGCATCTTCTCTCCACTTCTAGAAGGTGCCAAATCTAGAATTCTGATGAGCTGATCACCTCTCCTTTTACTTTTCCTAATATTAGGGTGACTAATTTCATCCAGAGCATGTCCTCTCTCTTAAAAAAAAAAAAAGGCTTCCTAATAGAGAATACGAGAATAAAGCAAATGACCAAGCATGACCTTTTTTCATTACACATCAGTTAGCAGATACACACTGTGGATTTGTTTGACAAAGGCCACTAGAGAAAGAAAACAAATGTTTTCAGAAACAGATTTATAGGCATGGAGATGAAGGCAAAAACCTTGTAAACGATGTTAAGGATAACCCTGCAATTAATTTTTTTCCCTGAATGCGCAAAACATGATTGCAGAAACTTTTACATCTACATTGCTAATATAATTCAGACACTTAAAGAATCATTTCCTGAAATTAGCGTATATGCGAATCCATGAAAGTTTACTACGAAGTCTACCACTTGACTCCTAAAATATTTTTCACTAAAAGCCTAACACTTAAATCAGAGATAAGCATTTTGAAAATTCAGACAAAATTTTATTTCAATTTCATGTAATGCAAGTGCCCAACCAGACAGCATTACAAATTTTCTATGTTCCAGCATCTCCTACTATTTCCAGTTATAAGATTATGACAAATCAGTTTTATATATGTTATATATTCCACATATGAAAAGGCAACATCCAACTCACTCTATCAACTGAGTATTCATCTACTATTAAGACTGTTTAAGCCTACAATAGAAGACATGCCCCTATTTATGACTGAGAGGTTAGAGGTTTGGGTTTTTTTTGTTGTTGTTTTTGTTTGTTTGTTTTCAAATGAACTGAAACACCTCAGAGAATTGAATTGACTTCTGTGCTTAAGTTTTCTCTTCCTGTGACCAAACTTCAAACCTCTAAAAAAACCCAGAGAAAAAAATAGAGAACAGAAAGTAGTATCTGCAAGTGGCAGTTAAGAAAAGACTGACCTAGCAGAACTTAGAGTCCAACACCTGCGTTACTTTGGAAATAAACCAATTGACTCAAAACAGAACGGCTGTGCCGTTCACATAAACCATCATAAACAACTCAATCACAAGCTACTGACTACAACCTCCTAAGTATTTCAGAATACTCCTGAATGGGCAGCTCTGGAATGCAGTCATACACATTCTGTCAACCTCAAGACCCAAACTAGCAAAAGAGCTTTCGTGTACAGTTCTTTCACTGGAAATCTCTGTAAACTATCACTTGCTGAGTTTGTGTTTTTAACAACTCTGCTAAAACAAAAAACTCTGTTTTGTTATTAAAACAATAATTCTCTTTTGTTTTAATAACTCTGGAAAGCTCATATGGAACTGACTCAACTCATTGTACAAATACACAGGATCTCAGCATTCTACTTAGGAATGTACAAAGACAGACAATAAATGTTACATGTGTAAGTATTAAACTGCTTTTGAACACAGTTTTAAATTTTTTTTTTTTTACAACAAATAATGCCTTTCTCTCCAAGCCCAAGTTTTAAATGCCCAAGCGTAGCAGTGACAAAACCTGTCATCTAAAAGGTTTGATGAGTTAGTCCAGTCAGTCAGCTTGAAATTTAAGGTCCACAAGAGAATAGTGTTCTATATCGAACAGTGTACATTCATTAACAACAAATACCACTGAACAAACTACAATTGCTTCAGCAAGACCCAAAGGATTTTATACTAAGTGCCAGTGTTGCTCTGATTTAAATTAGTCACTTACTGAAGGATGAGAGTATCTAAAAGAACTCACAGCTTGTATTTTTGACAACATCTCCATCTTTGCAGCTTAGTAGTTGTAAGACAAGCTGACTTTTTTCAGAATGTTCTTACTACAGGTATAAATAAAATTGTTACTGGCTATCAACTAAGCATCTAACTTGTGAGCTAATAATTCTTCAGCAGATAAAGAAACATTGTTGCACACAATAATTTAGCATAGAAAAAGTTCATTATTTGCCTTTTGAAAGGAACAGTCATCCTCTATAGTCTCTATAGGAATAGTCTGATATTTTAAACATCAGCAAATCCACTACAGATTCTCACTGTATCCAATCATTTCCTGTAACTGAAGATAGATTCTTGAACTTAGCTGCCTAGCTTACTACGTTCAGAGCCTCAAAACACACCAGAACTACAAAGAAATGCTAACAAATTTACTTCCCTGAAGAAGACTATCCTAATGTGTAAACTGTATTTAGAACACACCTAAAGAAATAGAACTTCCATCTTTTGAAAATAACTAGAAGAGATGATCGAATCCATATTATCAACACCACAACTTATCTACCAGGCTTCAAGTTTTTAGAACTAAAGGCAGTTTAAACCTTTCAGGCACAGCTCTTAAGCACTGTTTTCCAGACTAAACTTAGTCTAAAGACGAATGCAAAACCGATTATGGCAGTTGTCCTTTCCTCATCAAAAAGATGTTCCCTCCTTCCAAAACTTTTCCCTACTGCTGCAACACTTGAGATCATACTTCTCCTGCCTTTTTTTTTTTAAAAAAAAGTTAAAAGTATTTCTGCTCAATACTTAAGCCTTTGAATCAGACTACTTTTTAAAAAGAATCCAACATCTTTCCAAACAATTCTCCCCATGCTGCTTCGTGGTTTAAAATATTTTGTTAAAGCTTCTCCATGTAACTTCTGAACTAATAATACTCAAGGCACAAACATAAGGTAAAAATTGCAGTTCAACAACTCTTTTTTTATTTAATGAAGGAGACTGTCGAAGTGACAATTTCATAGACTTCATTATGAATACAAGAATTTGTTAGAAAACAGGTAAATATTTCAAGTTCTTCTGAAGTCTGTTTCCTTTTTTTTCTTTACTTCTTGACAGAATTTCCTCAAATATGCTAACTCTCATTCCTTGCTAAATACTTGACATTTAGAGGCCTTGCACTCTGTCCAATTAGCAGAACACAGAATGACACAGGGAATTTATGCAGGGGGAAAAAAAAAAAAAGAAAAAAAAAATCAAGAAGAGCTGAAGCAATGGAAGTTCAAACTTTGAAGCAACTCATTTCTCCCGAGCACTTAAAGCTTCACAATCATTTTGAGTTACATTTGCAATGGCTCTCCATCAGTTCAGACTACAAACTCTCCACTTGTTTTAGATGTGTGTAGTATTTGTTAAATACAACAATATAGCAAAATTTCTGCTAACAAGTTATTTTGAGACATTGAAGTAGTAACTCCATTATTTTACAACACTGCATTGTTACGAGTAGGTAGTGCTTCCTACATCATTCTCAGTTAATTCAGTCACTCAACCAGAAGTTATTTGACAGCTTTTCTATTAATCTTAACATTTACTTACGAAAGCAACAAAATACACTGCAGTTCAATACATTTTTCACCTATTTGCTAATTGATTAAAGAGCCACCAAGAAGCTGGGAATACTAACCAGGGAATCACTATGTGCACACCTGACTGCTGTCAGTGAAGGTAACTGCTCCTGGCTGTCTCCCAGAGCCTATTAACAGCTCATGTACAGACATAGGAAGATAATAGGTATTTATCTTAACTACTGTCATCTAGGAAGCCTGGGATGTGAGCCAAGTTTGAGAAACATGCCTAGAGTTAGCATCTGAAGTGACCATTAGCTCTCTCTAATCTCAACAGAAGCTACAAATACACAAGCCATTTCAATATAGATACCATTTAAACAAGAAAGACACCGCACAAAGCCAGCCAGCGCATTCAGAGTTAACTTGTATTGTGGCCTGAAGGCCGCCTTACATATATAAAAATTAAGGTTCGTTACATCTATTATCTAGATTACTGGGTCACTGACACAAACACAAAAAAAATTCTAAGTTTACCTCATTTGCTTACGTAAGAGTGCAATAAAAAACCATATCTAGACAAAGAACATGAACAATATTGACAGCTGTTTCACACAAATGAAAAATTAACTGATAAAATATCTACAGTAAGTGTCATTTCTAGCATTAAAATAAGTTTGCGAATTTTTGATACTTAAGTGGCAAAACTAACAGTTGTCCACAGTAACATGGTTACAGTGGTAGCATGTACATTTCCATGTCACCATTATGACACGATTTAGTGCAGAAAAAACTTCAACAGCTAGCTGTGAGATTTTTCCTGTTGTACACTTCAGAGGATTCCTGATCTTGGATTTACAGATGACTTCTCATTTACATTTAATGCTACTTATTTGGAGATGAACTACTTTCCAATAAAAGCACGTCCAATCAGTCCCTTCAGAATCCGTTACAGCATGTTAAAAAGCCAGTGGGTGTCTCAGATATTCAAATAAATCAAAACCAACAAGAAAAACAGAAGTGGCATCTGTCTCGTGATAGTACTGGAATCCTACATTAGTAATTCTCAAATAGTCATAAGAAAGGAAATTGAGTATTTTACCTCTACAGATTATACACATTACGGTTGGGTGCCTGAAAAGTTTCTGGATCTATGTTGAGTTAATCTGGTCAGTCACATCTTTCATAAAAACATGCTCAAGCTCAGGCAGTCAGTGGCCAGAGCTATGGTTTATGTCCTCAAGACCTTATTACAGTCTCAAAATGGTGGCTTCATGCTGGTTCTGACCTGTAAAGTCCCGAACACCTTGGCACCCAAATTCAAAAACACTGTCATGGAATTCTGCTGAACAGTCCTGTAGACTGCCAATATCATATTTTTCAGTATGAACACCAAAAAGTACCATCAGGACAGCATGTATAAAGCTAAACCACTGGTCTCAGTACCTGGAATAAACACATTTAAGCAAGCTACATGACTCAATACCCATCTACAAAGGGATCACCTCTTCATGAAGCACAGTTAAACTTGAATCTACTGATCAGGATATTCTAGTCCAGGCCTGAAACAAGTCCTGAAAGGGAACAAGTTATCTCAGCTTTCCCTTCAGTAAACCCTTTCCTTCCTTGAATACTGTTGCTATAACTGATAGTTCCATACAGGTTTCTAAGGTGTATCACTGTAAGTGGGTGACAGTGCTTCAGAAATCTTCTGATGTGCTTACAGAAGTTTAAAGAATCATAACCAAAAGGCTTTCAAAGCCTCTAATGACTGCTTCTCTCCAATGCTGCTAATTCACAGTATTATTGTAGCAACATTTGTAACAGCAAGACAAACTGTTCCAAGAACTCAGTTATTTTCATGCCTGGGTTACTTCTGAAAAAAACCTGTGCCAATGTAAGAACATTATAAAAAAGGCAAATTTTCAATATCAGCCCTGAACTTCAGTCAATTCTACCAAAACTGAGCTACACCTGGACCACTAGAATAACTGAGAAGATTGAAGAGACCAGGAGGTCACTACATATAGCTATTGCCTGACCTTAGAACAGCCTTAACCAGTGATTAGATTTAAAGTTAGAAGCAACAGTTTAAAAGCCTGCTTCAAATGTCAGTTTTTCCTGACATTAAGAATGTTGCAGAAAAGCAATAAATATACAAGAGCAAGTCTTCCACTCTTTGTCAAGCTAGCTTTCCTTTCACTGTTTCTGCCTAAGGGAAGAAGTTGCATTCAAACCTTTTGAATTAAATAGTGTTACAAAATCAGTGACTAAATGAAACTGATTAAGAATTAAGTTTAGTCCTCCATGAATGTTCTAGATGATTATAATTTTTTATTCACACATACACAGACACTTGGTGAGCATTTAGAAACCAAAGGGATGATTTAAGGCTCTTGTATTCTAGGTATTTTTATCATTATACTCCGTTAAGTTCTTGCAAAAGTGCTTTTAAAAAAAGTTGTCAGTGTGAATAATAACTCACAGCTGTGTTAAATAGAAGCAGTTTAAAAAGCTTGGATAATTAAATAAGTTGCCTCTTCATGAAAATCTGATATAACTTTCTTTTTGTCAAGCTTTCCCAAAATAAGGGAGCAAGTATCACAAGTATTCCTTTTAATGATATAATTTTATAAGCAAGACATTAACAATATCACAATTTAATTAGCTGATATAACACTGTGCAAGGTCAGTGATTGCATTTTGACCTGTAAAGACAGAAGTAAAAACCTAAAGCTCATATTAAGAAAACGCTTGTGGAAAACCAGGATAAAACCAACCACATGGCTTAAAACATTTTTCTTGACACACAAAAATCCAGAGTTGTAACCAGGCCTGAATTTGACCCAAAAGAGTGGCGTCATGGCTTTCAGGGATTTTTCTTTTCATGCTCAAGAAGGTTACGACAGCATTTCTAATGAACAATGTGGATTTCTTACCTTCAACCCGCGATTCCAAGTACTTATCCAACTCAGCATCTTTTTTCACTGCCTCATCTGAGACCTTAGGAGCATTTGAAAAACAAACTAGTACGATACTCATGTTATCACGACTCCCCTGTACGACAAAGAAAAAAGAAAAGTTAGGATCTTTAGCCTTATATTTCATTTTTCTATTTTAGTCACATTATTACTTGTTCAAAATACAGTACTAAATATACACCTAGGGAAAAAAGAAACCTTGCAATAAAACTGTATTTTGATAAGAACCTCCAAGTTTCCCAACTAAACTACTCACTAGAATTAATTTTACTGATTTTGACTGTACATTCCTAATCTTAAAATTTAAAATATTTAATGGACTTTTTTACATGTCAACCGTTTAAAAATAGTATCAAGAAAACAGGTCAGAAGTTAGACAGGGGTTTAATGTCACCTTAAGTCAAGTTAAAAACCAACTCATGTTGCAAAATGAAATGCATAATACTTATCCTAGACTACTTGAATAGCTAGCTCCAGTTATTAATTTATTTCAGTTTGAGAGCATTCACATAAGACATTACATTCATTACAAATCTGTTTATCAGAATGCATCTGTGTCATACATAGCAAGTTGAAGAAAATAAGTACAAAATATGATTCTATTTAGTATGGCCAAGCTGACCTCACAGACTGTCAGGTGCTCAAGCAACACCAGCCAACAGCTTTTTCAAATACTAACTTTACTGCCAGTTCTTCACTAATAAGCTTTGATACCACTTTCCTGCTCATACCTAATTTTCAAAATTATAATCCACAGCCAAACTTGAAAACATAGCATCTAAGTCTCTTACAAGGAGACCTAGTAGAACCATAATTTAAACTGCTGGTTTGAAATCAAGATCTTAATTTATTTATTTAATTTGGTAGAAATTTAAGTGCCATGAGTCACTGCATATTGATTCTGTGTAAACCCAACCTACTGGATAGTTCCTATCATCTATCAAAACAACTTCTCCTGAAGAAATTAAGTAGGAATCCGACATTAGAATTAATTCCTTCAGAAGTGCTGAGGAGTTATTCCACATTCCCTTTTGTACCCGGCATATGGGGACACCTATCGTTTACAGCAGTTAACATTACGTGGTACAATTCACATCCTGAAGGCAGAGGACACCATTCTAATATTGTTACAAACTGCAGAGATTCAGGATCTGACTTCATAAAATAGACACAATTTCAGGGCTCAGTTTTACTTATAGTATACAAGAGTGACCATCCTTTAACAAGGCTGGTCAAATGCTTGGTCAGAAAAGCCATAGCATTTAAACCTATCATCCAACATTCTGTATAAACTGGAATACAATCCTATCTCTGAAAAAAATTTACTTAACCTTTAGTGTTAGAATTCTGAATTTTACTTATTTTCCTCAAAATTGCATGTTTGGTCTGTGGCCTAACAAAGGGACTCTATTTTCACTAGTAGGAGTTGCACTTTTCAGGGAATGCTGGAAACAGTATATTTATGACACATTTGTAGCCCGATCTGTAATTACTCTGAACAAACTCTAAATTTGAAGAATACAAGCAAGCTCAGATGCAAAAGTAGAGCTTCTACATCTCTACATCTAAGCTGTATCAATGAGCTGAGGACACCACTTCACATGACAGACAAAGCATACCTTGAAGAGAAGATGGTGCAAACACTGGTTTTATGCAAAGGATATGAACGCTGCCCAACTTAAAAGAACAAAATAACCCCAAAATACCTCACACACAATTTTAAAAATTCTATATTTGGAAACAAAGTTTAAAGCGGGAACTATATGCAGTTGTTATTTGAGAAAATAATAAACCTTTATTTTTGCAAATTCTATTACCTCTCCAGGCACAAAGGATAATTCTATGATTCTATGATTCTATGATAAGGCTGTATATTCTTCAGCAAGGATATATAGTCAAACGGGTACAGAATTTTGAGGGAAGGAGGAGGGAGAAGGAGAAGAGTAGGTCAGGAACTGCTGTTAACACTGTACCCATCTAAACAGAACATCATTTGATAACAGTTGCTTGGAGAAAACAGTTACATACCTTATGTAAACAAGTGTCCACTACCCAATTGCACACTTTTTCCAGGTCATCTGATACTTCAAGTCTAGACTTAACAAATTCACAGAGCTCTTCATTGCTCATTACATCCCAGATTCCATCACAAGCCAAGATGATAAACTCATCTTCTTCTGCCCTTAAAATTTCACAAACCTCAGGCTCTGGAGAAACAAGTTGTTCTGTAGGGCCTTTACCGTCAACACATTTGTAGTCATAGTCCCCCAGAGCTCGAGAAACTGCCAATGAACCATTAACACGCTGAATCATAACACTGCCTCCTGCATTCTGGATTCGCTCTTTCTCCCTTGGGTTGCAAGGTTTGTGATCCTGTGTTGAAAAACAGACTTGTCCATTCCTATAGAGAACAGCACGTGAATCACCACAATTGATAAAGTATACATGCTCAGGTGAAATCATAACTCCCACTGCTGTTGAGCCACTTCTGTCCATCCCATTTCTGAGGTCTGAGAAATTGCGCATATACTCATCAATTTTCAAAAAGCCAGTTCTGATTCCACTCTTGACATTTTCCACTGAAGGTTCAAGAGCAGATCCAGGTTTTTCTGTCGCCCTAAAGTCTTCATTGTTAGTGATGTGTTCTAGTAAGTGCGTGGAGCAATAATTTGCAACACGAGATCCCGCGTGACCATCATAGACAGCAAAAAAGGACCAGTCCTCTAAGCCATGGGGAATACCTACAACAGCTGTGTGAGCATCTTCCATTTCCACTCTCCATCCCTGCATACTGCTGAGGCCATAACGCAAGCCATTCCCTGCACCATGAGCATTATGTTTTTCAGTTTTTGGTTTATCCAGAAATGCACCCATGTTTATGCAATATTGAATCTGGAAAATAGAGAAGAAAAGTCTTATTTATAAAACCACCACTCCATATAAGCTTCATTTTCTCTCTCTCTCTCTCCTGTGTTTCTTCTTTATAAAACCAGCGATAAAGCATGCATGTGTGCAGAAGTCAACAACTATAACGGGGGGAAAAACAAGTAATTAATAAATGACACAAACGAAGAGTGAACTTACAGACCTCTGTTTGCATTTTTGGTGGATTTTTTTGGTGGGGTGTTGTGTCTTTTAAAGAGCTACCTCATCAAAACTAAAGGCTCTCCATACAAAGGCAGAGTAGTTCACATACCTTTGCGGCCCTGCCAATTTTGTCATTCTCTGTAGAAACTAATTCACACCGGAAAGAGAACAACCGTATGACTCCCATTCTCTTTCCGCTTATGTTGCGGCATGAAGAAAAGCTAATACTTCGTAAATGAGAACTGACTGGTCTCACTAGCTTTGCATGTACTGTGCTACTTTTGTGTTCTTGTAAAGCATGGCAAAAGCAACAATAGAGGAATGTAGACTATCTGCCAAAGGAAACAAGAAGGCAAATCCCACTTCAATCCAAGAAAACTCACAAGATTCTCTTAATAAATTATACTTAGCCCTTCATAAAACAACAGTTCAATTTTTACCATCCCTGAAAGACATTCATGTGTTTACATGTGATTAAGTTAAAAGATGCATAGATCTTGATTTTTAAATGTATCCAGTTACAAGAGATACGAGCTAAGGGAAGAAAATAATCCACAGAAAGTTATAAGTTCTTCAGTATCTGGAGACCTGCTTCAAAATGCATGAGAAAGAACCACTTCCAGAAAGCAAGTTTGCAAGTAAAATGTGAGTAATCTATGTTGAAGCTTTAGGGACTTCCAACTTCCTCTCCTGTACTAGACTACCTTTCACATTACGAAGTCAGCAGAGAATACATTCTTTAATCCACAGATCCCACAGTACTGTTCTGCGACACCACAACCTCTAATCACGCCAAAAATGACTGCCCCATGAAACCTTTAGTGACTGGATGTGAAAATTATAGCAACCTTCACCGAAAAAGAATTTGAGAGAATTCTGCTATGACTGATTCTGAGCTATCTGTCACTAGGTCTCTGACACACTAGTACCCACCAAGCCTGCAGAGTCATGATAATCTAGTTCTGGTTTAAGAGTTTGTTACCAGGTCAGAAAAAGAGGTTACGAAATCCTTACTTCTGCCATTCAGCATACACAGCTTACTCTGACAAGAGAGACAAAAAGACTAGTACAACGCAATGAGGAAAAGATACAGTTAGTTTCTGCACCCCACCTTCCTTTTTAGGATAAACCTTAGGACCTTCTTTCATATAATAAAAACTTCTGCTACAGTGACCTCCAGGAGGTGCCAAGGATCTCCAACATTCCATAGAGCCTAACAGTTTGCTCACCTGTTATGCCTCTTTTGAAATGTATCTCCCACTCTCACTTTAATACAAATTTAGACAAACTACCCCAAATACTGGAGCAACTCCTTATCTGGTTTACTACTTAGCCTAATTTTACTGTCTTAGTTCAGGTTTAATGGCTTTTGACTCAGGCGCTACTAACATTATGAAAAAGGAACAATGTGGTTCCGTAAAAGACTGAACATGATATAACTTGACGTACTTTTTCTTTAAAAAAAAGTAGAGAAAAAGCATCTGGATAAGTCAAATCAACTCACAAATGCCAGAATTTAAACAGCACTCATGTTAGAGTACTGTACTATGTTCTAATTACAACTCTTCAAATTAGCTGTTCTGACATGGAATAAAACACTAATGAGAGTCCAGGTTTAGAAAGATTTGCTAGACAAGATGATGACTTCTTAAATGTTCAGCTAGAAATTGAGGTTTTGCATAGACAGTATAAATGCTAACACTGCAATTACCCCATCTAGTTCATCTATGAGATACTATCATGATTTTTGATAATTTCTAATTTGTTAAGGAACTTTACACTTGTGAAAGTTAGCCGTCTCTATGCACCAGTCTTTTGCTATCGAGAAGTATGAAGTTGTAACACGAGTCTTGCACTTAGTAAATCGTCTTAAGTAGTCATTAAAAAGAAAAAGGAATTACATGACACCAAAGGAAGTGTGAGTGTCCTGAGCATTTTATGCTCTCCAAAACGGGCATTCCATGTACAAGGTACACATCCTCAGTTGCAGAACCTATAGTAAAACCAAGCTATTAAGAGAATGTGCTCAAAGGCTGTTGCCAATTTGATTTTACTCCATATAAACATGAAAATAGTCCTCAAATTAGATTTTATAAAGCAAAACTAGAAGTACCAATTTCATAGGTAACAGCATATCTAATACAAAAAACAAGTTATAGAATGACTTCAAACCCACATCTAACGTTCTCAAATCACTTTCTGTAATTTTAACAATTTGAAAAGTCATTAACCTCTTTCAAACACAAAATATCCATCCTAAACTTCACCACCCACCTTCCCAATCAGTTCCGTATTGTGATATTATCTAAAGAATTTCACGTACAAGAAACCACAAATATTATCTTTATTCTTTCTCTCTGTAGTCACCATCCACCGGCCTCTAATTACATCACCTGGGATAGCAAAGATGAAGATAAAATGACGACACAACCTAAAGTTACACATTGTAAGATTCACACTGTATATGAATTGCAAATGAAAATAGTAAGTTACATTCTGCTCAATTATTTGCATCATTATTTTTCCTTCTTTATCTGAAAAGAATATTTGCAACACTGAATCAGTGGAAGCAACACACAGCAACAGAAATGAAGCATTCATTACTTAGCGAGATACACAGCCAAAATGTTTTTCACAATCCTTTCTCTTGAAACATCTGATTTTGCTTCGAAAAAAAAACAAACAAAAAAGAATCAGTCTCAAATAGTGTCATAAAAGAAAAGCAAGGTAGTACTACACACCACCACAAACAAGTGCTCTTAGTGCTCTTAGCAACTGATGTACTCAGTTTAGAGTTAGACAAGTTCCGCATAGTTTAACTAGCGGCAGTAAAGGAGACCCGTGAAAGGATTTGAATAGCTGATAACCACTCATTCACAAGTTACACACAATATAAAGCTATTTTAAAAGCACACAAAAACGTTCTTACCAGTAGAACGTAATACACAACTGAAAGTCCTCCAACACTTCAGACCTTTGTAAGAGATTCTTTTAATTATGTCCTTACGTTCTTAAAAATCAAAAGTGTGGAAGAAATCATATGACTGAGTAAGGAAAAATATCAAAACCTATCTAACTGCAAAAGTCTGAACTCAGCATTGAGTGCTGTGTTTTATATATATAAAATAAAAAATACTGTTTAACAAACGCACATTCCACATCTTAGCTTTACCTACTTCGTAAGTAGCTTCACTCCTTACAGCACAGGAGGAGTAAGAAACTGAACAGAAAGATGATACTATTCAAGATTAGATTCTTGATATTCTAATTATCCTATTTAATATTACAATAGTACAGGATGCGGAGATCGACTTGGACTCAGTAAGAAAAAAGTAAGCTTAGGAAAAGACTATAGCTCGTCCTATAAAAGCAAACACGTAGAAGAAAAAATTTTTTTATCACTGTATATTATGTAGACTATCAGGCAGCAAGTGGTTTGAAGATGAGCTGAAAAAGTCAAGCCATTTTCAGCATGGAAGAAAAACTGATTTCACTGACTCATTGAAACTCAGGTTTTCAATCAAAATGATCAGTGACAGCAAGGCACAAAGACGACTTAAAATGTATGAACACCTGTTCTGTTAAAAACTTCATTTTTAACAGTAACAACTTCTGGCATTTTAAAAATACTAGGAAGTTACAGAAAATAAAAAGCAAATGACATGGCATACAGGTGAGTACTGTATATTCCTAGCAGGTGTTACACACAAATGTTATTTGAATTTCACATCTACAGAGCCAACACACAACTACCTCTAGCAGTAAACTCAGTTCTGCATTTGCCTATGTACAAATTAGTTAAGTAAATCAGAAATACTCTAATGAAATTTGTGTTATCATACCAATTTTACTTTTTTAGCAAAGCAGCTTTTTTTAAACAAAAAAATCCCAAACAAAACACTACTTGTTTTCTCCAAAATGAAAGATTACATAAAGAAAACAGTTCCACTGAAAAAACAGTACCCTGACACTCACATCTAATTTTGTCCCTCTTCACATCTCAGGCTAGATCAGTAAAGAGACTTGAGCACCTGAAAATGGGACTCAGCCAAACTGACTTGCATAACTCCTACAGAGGCAAAGCCTATCCATCATCGGTCTAACCTAGTGTTTCTTATTTTATGCATACTAGGCTAGATCACAAGTCAATCTTGATGCAAGCACCTATATAACATTTAAGTCAGTTCAGAATTCACAAATTAGAGTCATACAATGATTCATGTTGCAAAAGATCTCTAGAGCTTATCTAGTTCAAATTCCTATTCAAATTTCAAACAATGCAACATCCAATACCAAAGATGGCTCAGGTTGTTCAGCTACTTGTCAAGTTTTGAACATCTCCAAAGATAGAGATTCCATAGCCTCTGAGCAACCAGTTCATGTCTGTCCAGATTCATAATGAAAACAGAACTCCCGTCAGTGCCGCTTGTGTCCTTTGCCTCTTAGTCTTTCATTACATATCACTGGGAAGAGCATAGCTCTACCTGCTCTATATCCTCCCATTACCTAGTTGGAAGACAACAACAGGATCCATCCCTTGGGCTTTTCTTCTCCAGAAGATACTCAGCTTTCACCTCTCCTCGTACATCACATGTTCCAGCCTCTAAGCAACAGTGGTCCTCTGCTCAACTTGCTCCACTATTGTCTATGCCTTTCTTATACTGGGCAGCCAACACTCCACACTGCATTCCAGAGGCAGCCTCATAAGTTATAAACAGAAGGAATTAACGACTTCTCCAAACATACTAGATAAACCTTTTCTAATATGACCCAAACTTTCATCACTA